GTTAAATTAACATGGTAAAGTTGTTTGTTGAGTGAGGGCTGCTCCCATTGAATATGTAATGCCTCCTTTATTTTAAGATGATGAATTGATGGGGCGGAGTCAAGAATACGGAAACAGTCCTCACTACACGTTTGCATGCATTTGCGTGAATTCTTAAGGTGTTTTAATATGTGAGAGTTCCTGTCCATTGCCAAGTGCTCGCGCACGCGTGTTGAGAAGTGTCGGCTAGTTTCTCCGACATAGCTGGCATTACAGTCAGCACACACAAATTTATATACAACACGAGAGCGGAGACCGGCAGGGACAGGATCCTACACTGAAAACAAATTTTTGATTTTGAATGAAGAAAAAACCAACTTAAATTCAAAATCATTACATAATTGCTTAGAAAGCAAACGAACTTTATGAGAGGCAATCTTAGAAAAAGGGCCGATATATGGAATTTTGAAATAAAGGGTGGTGGTGGGTGTGGTATCTCCAATGGCCTCAGGTGGTTTTGAACGTTTATTGGGGGAGCATACAGAATCAAGATATTTCGAAATTATTTTATTGATAATGTGTAGCGGAAAGCTATTTTTCCTTAGGATGGATATTAAGACTTTAATGTCTTCATGAAAACCCATCCAGCTACAATTAATTTTGAATGTCCTGTCAACTAGCGTCCGAACCAGTCCGAGTTTGTAATTGAATGAACAGAAACTAAAATAATTAGTGAGGAGCCCAGTAAATGTAGGTTTCCGGAAGACAGAAGTAGATGCTAGCCCGTGTTTTGATTTAGAAATTAACACATCCAGGAAAGGAAGTTTTTGTTCAACCTGTTTCTCAAAGGTAAGCTTAATGTTAGGGTGACGTGAATTAAGATATTCAAAAAATATAGAAACGTCCTCCTCATTGCGGAATAAACAAAAAATATCATCAACATATTACGTCTATAAAATAAGACGCTGGGACTTTTGTACTGTTCAAGCCATATCTTTTCATGGTGTCCCATGAAGAGATTTGCCAGAACAGGGGCTAAAGGGGAACCCATGGATACCCCGTCAATCTGATCATAAACGAAACCTTTGAACAAAAAATGTGTTTTTATTCATGACCTTGGTGTTCACAATTTGATACGGTTGAATTACGTATAGATTGACGTATTACAAACTTCACTTCGTTTAAATAAGATTGCCTATATGGAATCTCTGTACACTGATGATGACAGTAGGATCTGTCGAAACATGTATGTAGCGTAGGAAATACTCGAGGAATATAAGATGTGTATAAGAGACAGGTGTAAGTCTTCCACGTCAGTACACAGCCTCTCCTTACTCAATACTCCTACACAGCCTTCTCGTGGCCACCCACGGAAACTAGTGTCAAACGATTCTAGGCTGATGTGTAGTGGATCACGGTGCAGCAAAGGGCCCCAGAGATGCAGAAGGGCAAAGGCTATGGGAGTAAACCCTATACAAATCAGGTGCTGAGCCCCTAATGCGGTGTTTTGTTTTATATAAGCAATCTTCCGGCAGCTCCTGCAGCCAAGCTGGTGCCAAATGTACTGCTCCTGCTCTGTCTCTTATACACATCTCCCCTACTCAGCGGGTCCCCTTAATAGGGGTTTTCTTTAAAAAGCAAATTATACAAAGTGACTAAAACGTTAAAGACACACAATTAATTCTTCTAGTTTAATTGCAAAATGAGTAACAATTAGAATTTTGGCTAATAACTTGTATTATATTAAACACAAGTATTATGTGTAGCTTAACATCAACCTTGACTTCCTATACAATCGAACTTGGAATTTGTTACAGAAACAGATAACTGTTTGATTATTCAACTAATTATGGATCATTTAATGTTAAAATGTATATTTATTTATTTATTCACCAAAACGATAGCGGACAGAAATCCGCCACTTACAACATGGGTAACAAACGACAAGAATGGAACAAACACACAAGCATA